AGCTGATGAAGAATTTTCTTCTACCATTATTTTAAGAAATTCTTCATATTCTGCTTCATCTAATTCAGTTAAACCCATGTTTAAACATACTGGAGGATCAGTAGCAGCTTCTTTTGGAGTGACGTATTTGCTTTAGAGTGATCTGATAGATTTCTTCATTTTAACTTTATCTTCATCTTTTTTTTTGTTTTTCTTCAACACATTTGTGTTTAAATAAAAGCTTCGCCTCATATTTTTCGAGCTGATTTATAAGGTGCATTTCAGGCACATTTCTTATCTGTACACGTAATATCTTTGAAATCTTCAAAGTTATTTCTGTAAGTACAGAATAATAGAATCAATAATTTAATAAATATTAAATAATTTTAGAGTTTATTGATTAACAAGAAAGAAAGATAAAGTCATAATTACCGGTTACAAAATAAAAGTACTACCACAATATGTTTGCAAGTACTTCCCAATCCAGCCTTGCAAGAGCATTCCATACCAATTATTTTTCCGTTCTTTGAGAATTGAGCATTTATTTCATGAGGTTAATTTCTTAAACCAGCTGTTTGTAAGCAAAAAGCAAGGATATGATAAACATCATTGTCATCACTATGATTCACTTTCCCACAATTCAATAAATGACCACAATCAATAATATTTTCTCCATCAATAAAATTCTTACTAGCAGCTGTAGCTGAAGTAAATTTACAAATTTCTTGTAAGTTTACACGCATTTTTAATTAAATTTTGGTCACACGCAATTTTTAATTTAATTTTATATCCTATCTACACGTTTATTTACAAGCATCAGCTGTATCCAGAATCCTACAATCGCTAGTTTATTTTTTAACCAACAGACGGCCAAAAATTAAGCCACGCCTCTCCCACGGATCCCAATAGAATGAACAGAAGCGGGCTCAAGATCTCGCCTTGTAGTACACCTTCATTTATCTCTATTTTCTCAGATAATCCATCTTTTGCTTTAACTTTTATGCAGGCTTTTTCATATAATTTTTTTAGAATTCTGCACTTACGCCTAACTAGTTTTGCACTTACGCCTAAATTTAAAAGCTTAATCCATAATTTGTCGTGATTTATGGAATCAAACGCCCGTTCAAAATCGACAAAAATTATATACGCAGTGCCCTTCTTTTGCCTAAGACTCGAATGGATTATTTCCATTAACACAAATAGATTATCCATGCACCCTCGGCGAGATCTAAAGCCCGCCTGTCCCTCCGGTAACAGTTTACATTTATTTGCCCAAGTGTAGAGTCTATCAGCTAACATTGATGTAAATAACTTGGTGATATGATTCACAAGAGCAATAGCTCTTTAATTATTTGGGCTATATTTATCACTCTTCTTGTGGATCATAGACACAATTATGTTAGACCAAGACTCGGGGACCTCTTCCTCTCGGAGAACCTTATTAAATAAACTCAATAAATATAGCTTCCAATTATAAGGTAACGATTTAAAAAATTCGTTTGAAATCGCGTCTTCGCCCGGTGATTTATTAATTTTGCTGAATTTCAGCGCTTTTGTTAATTAAGCCGTAGTGAAATATTTATCTAAGTACGGATCTAAAATGCCAAAAAATAGAAAGTTATCGGGGATGTGTGGGCTTGTGATGCTTTTGTAGTACCATGCAACAAATAGAATATTAACAAGCGGCTTTTATAAGTCTGTACAGGCCAGAAAAAAAAATCAGGTGAAACAATATAAAGACCGTAATACCCTTTGTTCATGTCGGATTAATGCTGGAAGTCACATAGGTTATAATTTCCAATCAACTTTTAAAAACATGCAAAAAAAATAAACTGTTTGAAGCATTTGACAAATACACTCAGAATACCCAACTTAAGAAAATAATTAAGAAGACGAGCATTTTTTTTAGTTCCAATCTGACAGAGTTCTTCGACTTTTAGCAAAGTGAAACGCTCTAGCTCTTTTGGATTTTTTTTGTGTTCATCTCTTTACGGTACCCAAAATTCGTTTGTTTTCTTTTGGATTGCTTGCATTGACAAGGAATCCTTATAACATTTAATAAAAGCTTTGTACAGCCGATCATACAACGCCATTTTTATGCCAGTACGAACTCTTGTCGACTTATATTCGAATATAGGTCGAAAAAATACGAGATTTTTCTCAGTAAAATCGACTACGTGACAAAAACCTGAGACACTTCCCCGCTCCTGTGACTGACCGTAGTATTTCAAAGACTCCGCTCCCCCCTCTAAACGGGTCACGTAGTATGGGTACGTTCCCTTAAAGAGCAGTTGTCATTGTAGTCCAAACACTCCTTGGTAGCAGGTTTTTGCCGGTAAATATACCGATTCAATGTCCTGACGTTTTCTATAGTATCAAAGACAAAATTAATTCGATAAAAGACTTTAATAAGATACAATAAGTGGCAAATAAACATTTTGCAAATCAGTGATGGATGCTACAGAGAGAAACAAAGCAGAAACTTCAATTTGATTATAACATACGGAAAATACTATTAGACAATGGATTTTATCGGTTTTTTTTCTTTTTTTCCGTGTTTTGCCGTTTGATCCCTAATTTTGACTTCAGATTCGTGTTCAGCGGTAAAAAATACGTTGAAAAATATAAGTCGCACACCCAGCACAGGATACTTTTTTTTTTTGCGGACCTGTGTAATTAACATATACAAAAATTTTTTCTTTGAAAAAAAAATTTTTTTTGGTATTCACAAAAAGTGTAATATGATGTTTATAATTACGTTTAAATAATTCTGAAAAACAAAATTTGTTACATTTCCTATGAGATGTTTTGGTCTGCTCTGCTACTACCTAATAGTAAAATCATTATTTATTTTATTATTTAAATAAGTGTTATATTATAATGACATAATGAGATTCGGTAAAGTAAATGAATTATGGATTTTGACTATCCAAATATATCATAAAATTAATTTTTATATTATATTTATGATAAACTCATATGATACATTATGTAGATCATAGAATCATTATCATCTGAGAGGAAGCACAGCAGACAGAAAGTTCAAGACGCACGGAGATCACCAAAGTTAAGCAGCATTGAGCATGGTTAATAGTTGGATAGGTGACCGCTGGTGTTATAGCCGTAAAATTGTATCTAGATATTTTTTTTGCATTTTAATTGGTTACAGAGAATTGCGTAGGACCATATTAAATACTCTTTCCATAAAATTAACCCAATAATTACTTAGATGAAATGAATATATAATTAAATATTGTTATATATAATTATATATGATTATATTTGACCATTTTTCATATATAATCATACATAACGAATTTATATATAAATATATGGGGCATTCCATGCCAAATCACCGAGGTTTCGGCCCGACCCCCTTCGATTTCACTGCAAATTTTTTATCATTTCCTACCTTACCAAAGACATTTTTTTGAATTTTTTCAGATTTTTTTACCCAACCCAAAAAAAGTTACGAATTTTTGAAAAAAACGCTCTTTTTTTTCAAATTGATGTAACTTTGACACAAATTGACCTTTCGGCATTTTTTTTTTTGAAAAATCTTGTTTTTAATTGTAGTTTTCAAAAAAAAAATACAAAAAATTTGTCGGAAGTCACGATATATAAAATATTTCAGTTTTTTCAATAAAATCGTAATTTTTTCGAATTTGGAAACCTTCGATTTTCAATTTTTAACTTCCCGCTAAGAAGATCGAAGATTTAAAAAAATCGGGAAGTTATTGTTTTCTTCCCGTTTTGCAAAAATCGAGATTTCATCAGATCTCGACGTTTTGAGGTCCTAGAAAGCTTCCCTGACTATTCCCGCGAGGGTGTCACTATGTCTGTATGTATGTATGTGTATGTGAATTGCTTATAATTTTTGAACGGTTGAACCGATTTCATCGCGGTTGCTGCTATTCAAAAGGGCTTCACTAAACTTAGATTCCCTGTTGATTTAAATCGATTCGGACGGATAGATTTTGAGAAATTTTGAACAATCTCAAAAAAAAATAAGGAAAAAATCATTTTTGAAAGTGGTTTTTTTGGAATAACTTTTAAACGGCTCTACCGATCAATTTCAAAAACTAATCAGCTCTCAACCTTAAAGAACCACGTCGATTGCCGCCAATACGGTCAAAATCGGTTTATTCGTTCGAGAGAGCGTGAACGAAAGAAAACCGAAAAAAGTGTTTTTTTCACATAACTTCGATATTTCTTTTCGGATCGTTTTTGGTGAAATTGAATAATTTTTAGAGCTCAAAAACCGCGTTGATTGCCGCCAACAACGTAATAATCGGTTGATTGGTTCGAGAGATATCCTCGACGAAATATTTCGAAATAAGGATTTTTTCAACATTTTTTTTTGGAATAACTTTCATAAGTCCGACATTTTTTGGAATAACTTTCAAACAGCTCTAACGATCGATTCCAAAAACTAATCAGCTCTTAACATCAAAAAACCACGTCGATTGCCACCAAGCTTTTCAAAATCGGTTGATGCGTTCGAGAGATATCGTGAACGAAAGAAAACCGAAAGAAGTGTTTTTTCGGGATTACTCCGAAATTTTCGGTTCGATCAATTAAAACCTGAAAATAACTTATGACGTTGATAAAACTGCGTCGAATGGCGTCAACCGCGTGAAAATTGGTTGATCCATTCAAAAGTTAATGCGGTTTGAAAATTCCAAAAATAGTGTTCTATGAAACTTCTATCAGACTTTTGAGGTGGGAGAGCTCAAATGCATAGAAATATTATTTCTTTGAACTCAGCGAGCTCAAAATATCACATAACTTATATTTTGAGCGCAAAAATCTCAAAAATGTCATAAGTACAATTTTAAGCGCCCAGGAATGGAATTAGCGGGAAGTTGCACGGATGGCTTTTAGGGTGAACCGTTTTTTTAATGTTTTTGTCTAAAAAAAAACGTCAACTAAGACAATATTTAACCCCGCTATTTTCATTCTGTGCCGACTTTTCTTTCTATTTTGTTTTTCGATTGAAGAACATTGCCGATCCTGTTAAGATGTTTAAAAATAGCTCAGTGGTAAATTTTTATTGGCTGCTTCTGTACCCGTTAAACTATATAAGAATTAGTCAAAACCAATTCTCAATCAGTCCATTCTAAAAATCACAGTGATACGTATACCATAGTGTTAAAAAATAAAAAAAAATAAAATCTCGATCACTGAGTTTAATAATGTTCTCTCAACCATTTCTGAAGCATATAATTTATTATCTAAGCTTAATAATGTTAGTGATGCAACTTGCACAAGATGGATTCAAATTTGTGATGATACTCGTAATCAATTCAACACTATATTAACGAGTGCAGACGCTAGCGTTCATGAGCGTAAAAATCTACAAGCAAATGTTTCACAGTTATGCTGGTATCAAGAAAAATTTTCACAACTAAGCGGGCGAGTGACTGGCGCAGCATTAAGCAATAATAATTTAATCCATTGGCTTGATCAAGAGAACGCATTTGAAAATCGTGTACAAACTGGTTGTATTGTAAATCGTGGACATATTGATATACGAGAATTTTTGAATGATGCTAAGCGTGTTGTAATTATGAAAATAACAGATAATTTACAACGCATTGGGAATCCTAAAGTCAGCACGGCATTATTATGTAAATTTGAAAACTCTAAAAATGATTAAACTATTAAAGATAATAAATCGTTCAAAAGTGCAAGTTTTTCCGGAAACTAATTTGGATCAGTGGTTTGATGAAAGCATATGTGGAACTCTTTTAAGAAAAATTGAAGAGTTTAATGAAAAAGATTTAGGTTGGAGTTTGAATGAAATTAATAACTTGGTGGTTGACATCGCGCGATTTGCACCTCTACAAGGTGGATTATCAACGTTCGCTGTATTTCCCGAAGACATACAAAACAGGAAAGCTGTTTTCAATATCCAGAATCAAGACAAATATTGCTTTTTATGGTGTATAAAAGCAGCATTATATCCTGCAAAGAAGAATACAAACCCATTGAGAGTTACATCTTATAAGCATCTGGACTTGAAATTTAACATTGACGGTATACGGTTTCCAATGGCGTTAAAAGATGTGCATAAATTTAAAAAAATTAAATGATTTAACAATAAATGTTTACGGAATAGACTATGAAAATACTAAAGTTGATGGGAAAAATATATCGCAAAGTATTATAGTACCATTATACTTGAGTAAATATCGATGTAATAAATATAAAAGAAAATATACATTTATTAATGATTGAATCAGGTTTATCATTACATGATAATAAAAACCCCGAAAATTATCAACCAATTTTCCATTACACTCTGATTAAAAATCTTTCCAGATTAGTTTGCTCGCAAATTACAAAATCTTGCTCCAATTTGTGGTTATGTGATCGTTATCTATGTCACTTTGAGTTTCAAAAGTCTTTTGAAAAACATAAATTGGACTGTTTAAAGTGTAATAATGTTGGATTGAAGTTACCAAATGGTGAAAAAGAAGATGATAAGATCTTAAGTCTTAAAGATTTTAAACATATAGACAAGGTACCTTTCATCATTTATGCAGATCTCGAGTGCGTGTTAGTTCATGAAAATGATTGTGAAAGTGAAGAGACAAATAAACCAACATCTAAACATATGAATAAACATATCCCTCACAGTGCGGCTTATTATCGTCACTGTGATTATGATAACTCTTTGAGCAAATTCGAGATAAATCGAGCACCTGACTGTATTACTTGGTTAGTGAAACAGTTTGAGTCTATCAGTAGAAAAGTTGATGGACTTCTAAAGAACGTTGTGAAGATGACACCGCTTAGTGTTGAAGAGGAAAATTATTTCAATAATGCAGAGAATTGTCACATTTGTGGGGGATTGTTCAAGTCACCAGATAAAACAAGGTGTAGGGATCATCGCCATCTAACAGGTGCCATTAGAGGTCCGAGTCATCAAGCATGCAATTTAAATTATAAACAGTCTCACATAATACCGGTAGTATTTCACAATTCGTCTGGGGATGACTCACACTTCATAATAAACTCCTTAGCTAGGGTATTTAAAGGGACTCTCAATATACTACCTGTGAATAAGGAAAAATACATCTCATTCACAAAGTCTATTCATGGTACATATGTTAACTTAAGATTCATAGATTCGTTTCGGTTAATGTCGTCAAGTCTTGATAAATTAGCATCCAATCTTACAAATGATGATAAAAAAATAACTCGCACACATTTTCCAAATTTTGAACAGTTTCAACTTGTGAATAGAAAAGGTATTTTTCCTTATGAGTATATATATTCTCTTGATAAATTAAATGATAATCAATTACCAGACCAAAAATCTTTCTATTCATGTCTCAATGATGCAGATGTTGATGAAAAAGATTATAATCATGCTAAGCAAGTTTGGGTGAAATTTAATATAAAAACGTTAGGAGAATATTCAGATTTATATTTAAAAATAGACGTCTTATTATTAGCAAACGTTTTTGAGAATTTTCGTAGTAGCTGTTATAAAACATATGAGTTGAATCCTGCGCATTACTATACATCTCCAGGTCTTGCATTCAGCGCAATGCTAAAGCTTACAGGTGTAAAGTCAGACTTATTAGATAATCCGGAAATAATTTTATTCTTCGAAAAAGGGATAAGAGGGAGTGTTTCACAATGCTCCAATCGATACGCAAAAGCAAATAATCATTTTATGCATAATTTTGATCCAAACGAAGCTGAATCTTATCTTATGTATTACGATATCAATAATTTGTACGGTGGAGCAATGAGTATGCCTTTACCTCAAGGATCATTCAAGTGGTTAGAGGATTATGAATTTGATTTACAAAAAATTTTCAATAATCCCAATCAGACAATTGGTTATATTTTAGAAGTTGATCTAGACTATTCTCTTGAACTCCATGAGACTCATAAAGATTTACCATTATGCCCAAAACATTTTATACCCCCGGGTAGTAAACAATCAAAACTTTGTACCACACTATACCGCAAAGAAAAATATATTATTCATTATAAGACTTTGCAGCAATGTCTTGATTTAGGTCTAAAACTTATTAAGATTCATCGCGTTCTAACTTTCAACAATCACGATGGCTAAAACCTTATATTGACAAAAATACAGAGTGTCGTCAAAAAACCAAGAATGTATTTGAAAAAGACTTCTATAAACTAATGAATAATGCTGTATTTGGTAAAACTATGGAAAATGTACGAAAGCATAAAGAAGTTAAGATGGTTACACAGTGGACTGGACAATATGGGTGTAAAAATTTTCTTTCACGTCCAAATTTCCATAGTTTTACAATTTTCGATGAAAATTTGGTAATTGTTGAACTAAATAAAGTTAATGTTTATTTTAATAAGCCTATTTGTATAGGTTTTAGCATTTTAGATCTATCCAAAACATTTATTTACGACTTTCATTATAATTACATAAAAAAAATATTTACTGAAGATCAATCTAAATTATTATATACAGATACTGATAGTTTAATCTATCACTTTCATGTTGATGATATTTATAAGTACATTAAACGCGACATTCATAAATTTGACACTTCAGCGTATCCTCCAAATAATACTTACAAAATACCTTTGATAAACAAAAAAGTATTGGGTCTTATGAAAGATGAGAACAATGGTTACATAATGACCGAGTTTATTGGATTAAGAGCTAAACAATATACCTATAAAGTTCCAGAAGCTCCAATGGAGAAAGATAGATTGACAAAAAAGGCAAGAGGTGTTAAAAAAGCAGCATTAAATAAAATTACTTTTGAATATTGGCAACGATCTCTTATTTATCAAGACAAAATTTCTTAGGTCATAATTTCTCAGTAATAAGTTATCAGTTTAAAATTTATCAACGTCATAATTAATTGTCGTCAAATTAATCCTACAATAATTAAACCAATAAAAATTTCTCATGCAAAAATTAACAGCGCGGTCTGGGGCGAAGCCCCGGTGGGGGTTGGGGGGCGAGGCCCCCCATTCACAAAAAGTAATCGAGATTCGTCGGAAAGCCTCAGAGGGCTCCGGGCGGAGCCCCGGTGGGGGTTGGGGGGCATATTTTCGAGTAAATACACATCCAAATCTTGTTAAATGAGCGCAACATGATTACGTGCGTATGTGTTGGCATACTTTTGAGTAAATACATATCCAAATCTTGTTAAATGAGCGCTACATGATTACGTGCGTATGTTTGGCATAACTTCGAGTAAATACACATTAAAATCTTGTTAAATGAGCGCTACATGATTACGTTCGTTCATGTTGTACTCCAAGATTGAAAATTAGATATGTGTTTGTTTTATGAGAAATTTTCATGATGATATATTTTTGTTTTATGAGAAATTTTTGTAAAGATATATTATCGTTTTATGAGCAATTTTCCGAAAGATATATTTTTGTTTAATGAGAAATTTTAGTCAAGATTCTTTTTAGGCACGAGAAATTATTGTGCCGGATATATTTTTGAATGATAAATTATTGCTGAGAAATTTTTGCTTGAGAAATGATTACCGATAAAAAAAAACATAGAACCTTGAAAATTATAAAAAATGTCTTATGGAGCGTGATACTTTGCAGTGTGATCAACATATTTTTCAAAGTACAAAGCATGTAGTGAGAACAGTTAAACGATCTATAAAAGCGCTAAATTGGGCTGATAATAAAAGAAAACTCATAGATGATTCAACTGATACACTACCTTGGGGGTATAAAGAGTCTAATAAAAGACCACGATATGATTAAGAACTTTATATATTGCTTATCTTAATTCTATTTTATAAGTGATTCCAAATGTAATAAGGTTAGGAGTTATTTTATAAAAATAAAAAAACATAAATAATTCTCATGTTTATTTATTTATTTATACATCATTTTACATCATTAGTTTACACATCAGATTCATCAATCCAGCTGTTATAAGAATTGTCAAAACCCATCCACTTAACATAAACCTTATTTCCACGTTTCTTTAAGACTTTCTCTATCAAGTACCCATCTGGATATTTTACTTTACTAAGTTCTTCAGCATAAAAGCCTCCCTCAATCGGTTGGTCACGGTAGTCAATCAATTTGTATGTTATTGGGTTTGTATTTCACACTGTCTTAATTGAAAAATTTCTGTTGTCCAGTTGGGGGTATACCCTTTCTCGAATACATGTTTATACTTGCTTATGCGAACTTTATCTCCAACTTTGAATCTCGATTGCTTTATAATTGTTGGTTTCACTCCAAGAGGTTAACATATCGTTTGTAGCAACTAGTTTTCGTTGGCGGCTGTCACTTCAATAGGTTTCATTCTAATAGTTCGATGTCTAGTGCTATTATAAGTATTTATCAACTCGGGAAGTAATCAACCCATTTATATGTACCACGTGCTGTAAACTGTTGCCACATTTTATTTTTTAGTGTTCGGTTAAACCGTTCACATATTGAAGCTTTCAAGTTGCTGAATGTTGAGTACATGTTGATTTTATATTTCTTCATGAGCTCTTTAAGGTCCTTGTTATAAAACTCTTTACCATTATCAATATGTAGATTTTTCGGTTTACGGTCTTGTTGTTGTATGACACTTTTCACTGCATTTCTAACATCATCAGCACTTTTAGTTTTAATAGGGACTACCCAAGCATACTTTGAGAAAATGTCTATTATTGTAAGTAAATATTTATAACCATTATTAAATTTAGAATATGGAATCATTTCAACCAAAATCATAACCAATTATATCGGTTACTTGGATTTTTTAATTTTTTCATTTTATATCTTTTTGTAAAGAAAAAAAACAATTTTTTTTTCTTAATAATCTTATGAACGTGGACTTGGCGCGATTTTTTTACAGTGAAACTGTTTTTGTTCGGATTCAAGAAACTGGACGAGGAATGGCATTCATCACGACGCCGCATTGAAACTGAAGTTGAGACGGAAGAAGCAATGGACACTGGAGCCGACGGTGACGGTGAATCTGCTATTGAGGACCAGGGTGAAACTGACACAAGGTCTGGAAAGAGAAAGGACCGAGATTCGCCAGAGCCAACCGACAAAGTCACAAAGAAGAAGGACCTAAAAAAAAGCCCTCCCCAGCAACTGGCAGGGCAGGGCGACGAACCCAAGAAGAAGACTGACTGGGAAAAAGTACGGTCTAAGAAGGAGAAGAGAAGGCTAGCTAGAGAGCAACTCTCAAAGCAGCCGCCGAAGGAGCCCAGGCCGGAGCCTAAGCGGAAAAAACCACGAAAATGGATCAGACCCAACGCACTGATCATCCGCCCGGCCGAGAAAACAAAGTATGCTGAGATTCTGCGTCGCATAAAGCAGGACGTCCCAGATGAGCAGGTTCGTTCAACTGTGGATAAGATCAACAAGACCAGATGTGGGGACTTGTTGATTACGATTTCGAGGATGGGCACTGACAAAGGCCAAGGTCTGCAAAAGAAAGATCGCGAACACCCTTAAGGAGGAGGCCAAAGTGATTTGCAAAGGGCCACAGGAGACCATCGAGATCCGAGATGTCGATGACGACACGACGAAAGAGCATATTCAGACCGCTCTAAAGAGGGAAGCTGGAGAAAGTTGTGAAATCCCACTAGAGGCAATCAAGATCCGTAAAGCCTTTAGGGGTGCACAGACAGTGTCACTACCAGCAGCTGCAGCACAAAAGTTACTGGAGGGAAACTGCAAAATAAGGATAGGCTGGTCGAATTGCCGAATGAGAGCAACGAAGAGACCCATACAATGCTTCAAATGCTGTCATTTTGGGCACATCGGATCTCAGTGAAAAAGCGAAGTCAACCGGTCTCATCACTGCATAAGGTGCGAAAAAGAAGGACACAAAATTGCTGATTGTAAAAATCCAACTGAATGTGCACTGTGCGTTGAACGGCACGGCGTAGAAAAGGCGACTCACCATGCAGGCACGAATAGATGCCCCGTCTTCCAAGAAGCGCTCCAGAAGATAATGAAGCCAAGAACATGAAGATATTGCAGCTCAATCTCAATCATTGTGAGGCTGCGCATGACCTGCTCATGCAAACTGTGCGCGAATTAGAGGCAGACGTAGCACTTATAAGTGAGCCTTATAGACACTTGAGTAATCAACCCTGGGAATCCGACAGGACTAACAAAGCCGTCATCTGGTCCTGCGGTAAATGTCCTTTTCAGAGAACAGCCAACAACAAAGAAGCCGGCTTCGTAACAGCATGGGTAGATGGCCTCCGCTTCTACAGCTGCTATGCACCACCTAGTCTCTCTAATGAACAGTTTGAAGACTTTCTCGATCGGCTAACTGAGGACGAAAGAAAACACTTTCCCGTGGCAATAGCTGGTGACTTCAATTTCTGGGCAGCAGACTGAAGCAGCAAGCTCACTAATACACGTAGAAAAGCACCTCGAGGCAATGGCTACACTGGACGTGATCCTTCTTAACACCGGTGACACGCCAACCTATACCAAGGGAGAGGCAAGCTCAATTGTCGACCTCACATTTGTCAGCAGTTGCTTAGCCCGAAAAAGTTTTTCTTGGAAAGTATTGAACATCTACACAGCCAGTGACCATAGTGCAATACTATGGGAAATATCAACTGGCCAGAATATAACAAGAGTCAACAGGAGCGCTAGAGCAGTTGGGTGGAAAGTTAAATCTCTCGACCTCACTGCTTTAGTAGTAGCCCTAAAGTGCGATCCGATCATCGTAGAAACTGCTGAAGAGAAGACCAAGGACCTAATGAGAAGAGTCACCCAGGCTTGCGACGCTAGTATATCTCGGAAACGTGGCATGAATTCAAGACCTTCAGTGCACTGGTGGAACGATCACATTAGCATTCTACGCTCAGAGTGTCTTAAAAAAAGAAGAACGTCGCAGCGTGGCTACAGACGACCTAATTCAGCAGAGCTGTTGGCAGAGTATAAAAAGGCACGTAAAGCTAAACAGAGCCATTAAAGAAAGCAAAAGACGCTGCTGGAAGGAACTGGTCGCAGAAGTAGAGAAAGATCCATGGGGCAGACCGTACAAGGTGGTTCTGACCCACCTGAAATGCCAGCCAATGCCATCACCTACGTGTCCACAGCTCTTAGAGAAGATTGTAACTGCGCTGTTTCCCCAACAGCCGGTATTCACCTACAAGTTGGAGCAGCTCAACCCTGAAGATATCCCAACTATCACGTTGGATGAGTTGATAGAGGCAGGCAATCGAGTAGGGAATAATAAGGTACCGGGATTGGACGGAATCCCTAATATTGCCCTGAAATGAATCCTTAGGGCAGCACCGACATTATTCCTGGACGTCTAAGATACATGGCTGAAGAAAGGGACTTTTCCCCAGAAGTGGAAACAGCAACGGCTAGTGTTACTTCCGAAGGGAAAAAAGCCGCCGGAAGAACCATCATCCTACTGACCACTCTGCATGTTAGACACGGCCGGCAAGATATTCAAGTGCATAATTCATCAGAGAATAGAGGCTTTAGTCGATCCACTTCTGGCAGAGAACCAGTTTGCTTTCCGAAAAGAACGGTCAACTCTGGATGCGATCAAATTGGTTGTTGATACAGCCAAGGATGCAATCGCTGGAACGAGATGGAAGAGTGAAAAGAAGAAATACTGCTTGGTGGCTGCTTTGGACATCAAGAATGCCTTCAACTCCGCTAACTGGGACTGTGTTATGCGGGCTCTAGAGGAAAAAAGCGTACCAGGATACCTTCGCAGAATAGTAGCGAGTTACTTCACGAATAGGGTCCTGAAATATGACACGAAGGACGGTACGGAAGTGTACGAAATCTCCGCAGGAGTGCCACAGGGATCAGTCTTAGGTCCTCTGCTATGGAACATCATGTATGATGGCCTCCTGAGAATAGCATTGCCCACGGGAGTCAAACTTGTAGCATATGCGGATGACGTAGCTATCGTGATCGTCGCAAAGCACCTCGAAGAGATAGAAATGGCATTTGATATTACATTCAGACGAGTCAATTCGTGGATGGACATGATGAACTTGCAACTAGCCAAGCATAAAACCGAGGCAGTGCTCATCACTAGTAGAAAAACGGTAGAAACCATCAAGTTGAGGGTCGGAGAACAAGAAAACATTACAACCATTCATCCGTTATCTGGGAGTGATGCTGGATGCTCGACTCAACTTCAAGCAGCAGGTGGAACACGTCAGTGCCAAAGCGTCAGTAGTGAGGGCTAGTCTCGCACGGTTGATGCCTGACATCGGAGGCCCAATGCAGAGCAGGAGGCTACTATTATCATCAGTAGTCACATCAGTGCTCACTTACGGAATACCCATTTGGGCCGACGCATTAAAGACGCAAGAATCATGGAGAAAGGCTGGACCAGTATATCGACTGAGTGCTCTACGAGTAGCTAGCGCCTTTTGCACAATATCAGAGGAAGCAGTGTGTGTCATTTCCGGTACTCTGCCTCTTAGAGTTCTAACAGAAGAAAGACGGGCCCTTTACCAACGAAAAAGGTCAACTGCACTGAGCCCTGAAGAACTTACAATTGAAGAACGGCAGAATAGCATAGGCCGATGGTAATTACAATGGGATGCTGCAGAGAAGGGTAGGTGGACGAACCGTCTAATACCTCGGATTGACATTTGGCTTAACCGGAATCACGGCGAGGTCAATTACTATCTTACCCATATGTTGTCAGGACACGGATGTTTTCGAAAGTATCTACACCGCTTTAAGCACGATGACTCTTCGGAGTGCCCGTCCTGCCCAGGAGTTGCTGAAGACGCGGAGCACGT